AGGGCCATACACACCAAATAAAAGTGCATACATTTTCACAATCTCCCAGGGGCCATAGTCATGCGGGAGGAGGCTGGCAAAGTAGGCTTCTCCACAACCCAGGGAAGCAGGGCAATTTGCCATTTAAAGGGCCCGTTACAAATAGCAGTTTGTAACAAGGTGTCAATCCATATCTGCCAAGTGACCCGATGTAGGGGGAGTCCCTATTCTGCTCTGTGTCAGTGTGTATCAGGGATCCTTAGGACAGGTGTCAATCCATATCTGCCAAGTGACCCTATGTAGGGGGAACAGTCTCTATTCTGCTCTGTGTCAGTGTGTATCATGATCTCTGAGGACAGGTGTCAATCCATATCTGCCAAGTGACCCTATGTAGGGGGGACAGTCCCTATTCTGCTCTGTGTCAGTGTGTATCAGGGATCCTTAGGACAGGTGTCAATCCATATCTGCCAAGTGACCCTATGTAGGGGGACCAGTCTCTATTCTGCTCTGTGTCCGTGTGCATCAGGGGCTCTGAGGACAGGTGTCAATCCATATGTCAAGGTGTCAATATGTCATATGTCAGGTGTCAATCCATATTGATTGTGATTTAGGAATGTTAGGTGATTTCTGCCCTTTATGGATTAAAACCAGACTCTGTATCAACTGTGTAATTTTCCATGGGAGTTTTGCCATGGATCCCCCTCCGGCATGCCACAGTCCAGGTGTTAGTCCCCTTGAAACAACTTTTCCATCACTATTGTGGCCAGAAAGAGTCCTGTGTGTTTTAAAATTCGCCTGCCCATTGAAGTCAATGGCGGTTCGGGCGGTTCGCCAGTTCGCGAACATTTGCGGAAGTTCGCGTTCGGCGTTCGCGAACCGAAAATTTCGGGTTCGCGACATCACTATACCTAATATGACAAGCTTTCGGGAGAACCCCCTTTCTTAAGTCTGAAGCATGTCTGAGCAAGATGACACATAGAATTCAAAGTTGAGTTGTGATACAGGGGTTAAAGTGACATGAGTGCAGATAAGTCACAGGTTTGTTAGAAATTCTTGCAAAGGGTCAAAAATCTCTTTCTGAAGAGCAGAGTGACGGGGGAGAGGAGGGGGGAAAAAAACAACCAGACAGTACAGAAGATGTCAATAAAAAATTCTGTTAGTCCAATAAAAAGTATAACAAAGCACAAAAAAAGATCAATAATATATACTTATCAATAAAACAGAGAACAGCTTTTCACAGAACACCTCCCAAGTAGTGTTTCGTCTAAACAAGCCGATTAGTATAATATAAGTGGGATACAGCTGTTGAACCTAAAATATAATAAAACAATAAAAACATAGCGTAATACAGTTAATAAATATATAATAGTTAAATAGTTACATAGCTGAAAAGAGACTTGCGTCCATCAAGTTCAGCCTACCTCACATTTGTTTTTTGCTGTTGATCCAAAAGAAGGCAAAAAAAACCAGTTTGAAGCACAATTTTGCAACAAGCTAGGAAAAAAATTCCTTCTTGACCCTAGAATGGCAGTCAGATTTATCCTTGGATCAAGCAGTTATTACCCTACATTGAAAGATTATATCCTTGAATATTCTGTTTTTGCAAGTATGCATCTAGTAGCTGTTTGAACATCTGTATGGACTCTGATAAAACCACTTCTTCAGGCAGAGAATTCCACATCCTGATTGTTCTTACAGTAAAAAAACCTTTCCTTTGCCTTAGACGAAATCTTCTTTCTTCCAGTCTAAACGCATGGCCTTGTGTCCTTGTGTAAAGTCCGGTTTGTGAATAGATTTCCACACAATGGTTTGTATTGGCCCCGAATATATTTGTAAATAATAATCCCTGCTAAAGATTGCACTCACGGGATCTGAAGTTAAATGCACTCTAATGGTGCCTCCCCTGATATTTGAGGAACCATACAGGACTCTAACAGTTGGATCAGTAGAAAAAAGATTTATTGATCACAATTTAAAATTAGTGATTAAAAAGCAATTTTGGTCTTACGTGTTTTGTCCTTTAATGGGACTTCCTCAGAGACCAATATTCAATAAAAACAATCAAAATAGTAATGCTCCCAAAAAAGCAGCCTAATACCACCCTCCCATCAGTCCCCTTAAATAGGACTAATCCCTTCTTATTCATTGTTGATTCCAGGGGGTGTCTTCCTTTTCATTCTTCCTATTGGTGGTTCTTGGGTTAGTTTCACCTGTCCCTGGTCGAGGATGATGAGTGTTGTAGTCTCAGCTGTTCAGTATTTTGAAATCGGCGAAAACCGGAAGTGACGTCATCCACCTACTTCCTTGTGTTCCAATATGTGTTCCAGCTATACTTTCCACTGTAGTATGCAGAGTGGATTGATCTCCCCCTGGTGGTCTCCAGGGGGAAGTAAACCTCACAAGAACTTAACCCCTTAAGGACACAACTTCTGGAATAAAAGGGAGTCATGACGGAATATTTCCGTCATGTGTCCTTAAGGGGTTAATGCAGTTAATCTCCAATGGAGAGTTATATCTAGGCAGAAATATGTCATTAGATCAATCTGATAGTTCAAAATAAAGCAAGCAAGAAGCAGGACTTTTCAGAGACTATACAAATAATGTTTAAGGTATATCATTATACTTTTTTTATTGATATTATGTCCTTTAACTTTATATTTAATTGCTAATGTTCCTTTGCTGGCATCAGTCAGTTCAAACAAAATAAAAAAAATACATAAACAAATATAAAATAAAATGAAGCCACGTATATCCATTTTTCCATATGTACAAGATGGTCTTTTTCAGCAATTCCTTTATCTAGGGAATACTGTATTCATCTTATTGTAATTGGAAGGGAATCTAACCCCTACAACAATTTATGTAGATAGTTATATGGTTACTTCTCTGAAAGAGAAACCTGATTTTTCTTCAAATTGAAGCAGAGTACAAAAATAAGTATTAACATCAGTGGGAGTTATAACGAGACAAAACTATATAACTGCTGCATAATACAATAATGAAAAGAAGAAAAGAAAAAAAGGAGGATTGGTCACAGAAAACAGATCAGGTCTATGTCAACATTCAATCCCTGTGGTTCCAAAGTGCATAACTTATGTATCCAGAAGGTTTCCCTTTGGCATATTCGTTGGACTCTATTCCCTCCTCTCCAATGAGGCAGAACTCTCTCTATTTCAATACACTTAAAATCTTTGAAAGAAAAGTAAGGACAAGAGTTACAATGTACAGGAACCGAATGTGACATAAGACCCTTCTTTATGTTATTAATATGTTCTAAAATACAAGTTTTCAAAGGCCTCTTAGTACGGCCAATATATTGTTTGCCGCACGGACACTGCAGTAAATAAACCACAAAGTCCGTGCGGCATCCAATATCCGTCTTAACATAGAAAGACTCCTCAGTCACTGTACTACAAAAGATATTCGTTCTTGTGAAGTCAACCGTTGAGCAAGCCCTAAAACCGTTAGGGTATTCTGTCTCCCTTCTGGTATTGGTTTTTAATGCATAACTAGGAGCTATGAGATTTTTTGAATTCCGATTTTTTTCTATATGGAGATTAAATGCCGCATGGACTTTGTGGTTTATTTACTGCAGTGTCCGTGCGGCAAACAATATATTGGCCATACTAAGAGGCCTTTGAAAACTCATGTTTTAGAACATATTATTACTGTACAGTTAGCACTTTTCAGCCCTGTACCACTTTAATGTACTGTCAGTACTTTTTCAGCACTCATTATCACTTTAATAGTACTATTAGTACTTTTTCAGCACTGTACCACTTTACATGTAGCGGTTACTATGGCAATATATTGTGCACCATTACGCAACTTCCGGGTTGAGCACATTCACACATGCGCACATCGTCCCTTTGGATGCCATTTATACATATATATATACTTTTATTATTATTATTATTATTATTGCAATTTATAAAGCGCACACAGATTTCGCAGCGCTGTACAATTAGTTGAGAAACGTACAATATACACAAACAAATACAAGAGGTAAGAGAGCCCTGCCCGTAAGCTGATATCTAGCCATTGGAGCTCTTTATACAAAGTGCTTAGCTAGATGGCCCTTGAGCTTACAATCTAAAGGATACCAGGGGGATTTGAGACAAAAGGTAGCAGGGGAAGTTTGGAGGTGATGGCTGAAAGAGTTAACAGAGAAGCAGCTATTGGTAAGATGTTAGGGGAATGAACAGGTAATTGGGTGAGAATCTCGAACAGCTGGAGGAGCATGCTATATATTTAAGGGGAGCCTGGGTGGGCGGGAGGAGGGGAGGGTGGGTGGGAAGTGGGGAGAAAAAATGCAGTCTTCACAGAGTTGATTGTGAAGTGAGGCCTGAGGAATAGGGATAGAACAGTCAATGAAGGTATTTACGACTGGGGAGGGGAAAAGGAGAGTGTGAGAGGGGGAGGGGGGGCAGAGTAGACATGTGTTATAGACTACAATTTTTACAATAATTTTACAATTATTTATATAGCACCAACATATTCTGGAGTGCTGTACAATAGATATTCCTGGTTTGATTAGCTCAGTGGAGCCAAACTCAATAGGCAGCAATTGCCCAGGTCACCTGCCTTGCAAAGACTTCTCATTGAGCTCTTCATTGGGAAGTCTGTAATTGGACAGCCAAAGAATGCCTGGACTGGGTTAGAAGGGTAGAGCTTGCAAAGGCAAAGAGAACTGTAGGTTTTTCAAACTGTTTTTTATATATCTCCAAATAAATAAGTGCATGCAAATTTTTCTTTCATTTGTATTTGGGCAGGGAAGTGTACCTTTAAGTAATGCTGAACGCTTATTCCGGGTCTCCTTTGCTGGTAACATTTTCTCCCACTGACCTGTCTCAGTTGTATTACACCCATCAGCCTAACCTTGCAATTTTACTATCTTGGTATCTTTGATTCTGGACTTACTTTTAAATTTCCTCGTAACCAAATCCTGTCAATTTCAATATAACACATTGCTTACATTCACACATTTTTAGCTAGACACTATAAAGGCCATAGACCTGTAGGGAACTGATTTACAAGGTTTTATAAGGTATTTTGACTAGTATTCTAACAGTAGTAATTCCACATTTACAAAGCTCTCCAGGAAAAATCATCTTATTAATCTATATACTTTTGTTTGTTAGGCACTCACTGATTTAAAATCTGACAACCAGCGCCTGAAGGATGAAAATGGAGCCTTGATCCGGGTGATCAGCAAACTCTCTAAATGACTCATTGGGCAGTTATAGAGAATGGAATTTCACGAGTGAGAACACTGTGTGCCCCCTTAATCAAACCGTGATTGGCCCCTGTACAGCCATCAAGTCACTGACTGTGGATCTGCCAATGTGAAATGTACACTCCATGTTATTTTGTACATATATTTGTTTGTATATCGGAGAAAAGAGAAGGAATCTATTAAAAGATTGGTACAGTGCACATCCCATATTTACATTTGCTAGTTACATTCTCAACCAAAAATGTATTTTTATTGCAGCCTAAAGCGCATGTCAGCCAAATACAGAGGGAATAAAAACAGAATAAGGGACAGCGCTAATAGGGCATGAAGAGTATAAAAAGAGTGTAGGCAGCACACCTATAGGTAGAGGGGTCCCCTCTTATCCCATCAAAATGAATAAGATGAACAGAATAACAAAAAGGAAGGGTGCGCCTTAAGAAAATAATATTATTGTAATAATGGTATATGTGACATATGTAATAAATAAATAAATAAAGAATAGTCCAAATAACTTAACATTAATCCATGTAGCGTTGTCCGCCAACAATGGAAAAAGTCCTTTTACAGAGGGAATGCATACATCATTAAGGCAATATTTATTTATGTCAGTGTTTCTAGTATTGCAGGAATTCCACCCTTTCCTATTGTATTGCAAAAATAGTGATTTTTGTACTAGTGTGTTCATCTTGAACAAATCCCAAGTGTTATGGTAATTTAAAGGGACACCAAAACATCTTTAGCATAATGAAGCAGTTTGGGTGTATAGATCATGCCTCTAAAGTTTCACTGCTCAATTTATTGCCATTAACCCCTTAATGACCGAGGACGGTTCAGGACCGTCATCGGCATTTTTTCCATTGACGACCGGTGACGGTCTTGAACTGTCCTAACAGTCTTATGTACTTATCCAATAGCCATCGTTCCCCCGGCGGCGATCGGTGGTGCTCCCAGTGTGGGGAGACTGCCTGCAGCCCAGACAGTCTCCGATGGCGGATTAGGACCCCTGTGGCCATGTGAACGCTCAACAGAGCAGTCACATGGTCACAATAGGTGTCCATGTGTCTGCCTGTAGGGGGACTGTCTGTGCTGACAGGCAGTCTTCCTGCTAGTGTAAAACCATAAAAAAAATTAAAGTTAATGTTAATAAAAATAAATAAATTATATGTGTCTATATATCATATATATAATGTCATACTAAGTGTATTTTTATATTAATATGTACATATATTAATATAAAAACACACTTATAATGAAATTACACACGTATATATATAATATATGTAATAACTATATATATTGTATATATATTATTATAAAATACAAATAATAAGTAGATTAAATTAAATAAAAAAAATTACAAATAATAAAAAATTAAAAAAATTATATCTATATAAAATTTTATTCTAACTGTATTTTGATATTAAAATTTATATATTTATATCAAAATACACTTAGAATGAAATTTTATATATATCTATGTATATATAAATAAAAATAATACGAAATATACGTACGCCCATATACAAAATTACATAAATAATTATATAAATATACATGTAGACTTCAAATATATAAATATGCATATATATTTAAATTCTACGTGCATATTTATGTAATATTTTTACATAATTAAGTAATTTTATTAATTGCAATTTGAGGGACCTGCCTGCCAACCCAGGCCGAAAGTCCAGAGAATTTAATTTTTTACCCTGTTACTTTCTATGACACCCTAAAACCTGTACATGGGGGGTACCGTTTTACTCGGGAGACTTCGCTGAACACAAATATTAGTGATTCAAAACAGTAAAACATATCACAGCGATGATATTGTCAGCGAAAGTGACTTCTTTTGCATTTTTCACACACAAACAGCACTTTTACTGATGATATAATTGTTGTGATACGTTTTCCTGTTTTGAAACACTAATATTTGTGTTCAGCAAAGTCTCCCGAGTATAACAGTACCCCCCATGTACAGATTTGATAGCGTTTTTGAATGTTACAGGGTCAAATATATGGGTCAAATATTTTTACATTGAAAATGGCCAGGTTGGTTACGTTGCCTTTGAGAGCGTATGGTAGCCCAGGAATGAGAATTACCCCCGTGATGGCATACCATTTACAAAAGAAGACAACCCAAGGTATTGCAAATGGGTTATGTCCAGTCTTTTTTAGTAGCCACTTAGTCACAAACACTGGCCAAAATTAGCATTCAATTTAGTTTTTTACTTTTTTCACACACAAACAAATATGAACGCTGGCTAGTGTTTGCAACTAGGTGGCTACTAAAAAAAACTGGACATACCCCATATTGAATATCCTGGGTGGTCTACTTTAAAAAAATATGTACATGTGAAGTGTTATTCAGAGATCTATGACAGATAATAGTGTTACAATGTCACTATTGATAAATTTGAAAAAATTTATGTTTTGAAACCGCAATATCCTACTTGTACCTATAGCCCTATAGCTTGCAAAAAAAAAAAAGCATGTAAATACTGGGTATTTTAAAACTCAGGACAACATTTTGAATCTATTTAGCAGTTTTTTTTATTCGCTTTTGTAGATGAGTAAAAGATTTTTCAAGTAAAAGTAAAAAAACATGTATTTTTTTCAATTTTCCATCATATTTTTTTCAATTAAATTACATGAGATTATATAAATAATGGTATGTAAAGAAAGCCTTTTTTGTCCTGAAAAAAACAATATATAATTTGTATAGGAACAGTAAATGAGAGAGCGGAAAATTACAGCTTAACACAAACACCACAAAAGTGTAAAAAGAGGCCTGGTCGCAAATGTACAACATCGCAAAAACAGTCCAGTCCTTAAGAAGTTAAGGAGTTAAATTAGGTTTGATTCTGTTTGTGCAGTCCTAGCCACACCTCCCCTAGCTGTGACTCACACAGCCTGCATGAAAAAGAATTTTTTAAAATTTTTTATCAGATGTAACTTACTTTAAAAAGTTTTTATTTCATGCTCTGTAAATTGAACTTTAATTACATATAGGAGACTCCTGCGGGATCTAGCAAGCTTTTACAGAGCAGGAGATAAGAAATTAAAAATTATACAGGATTTGCAATAAAGGAAGTGTAAACATTAGATGACTCTTTACAGGAAGAGTTTAGGAAGGCTGTGTAAGTCACATGCAGGGAGGTGTGACTAAGGCTGCATAAACAAAGCAATTTCACTTCTAAATGTCAGAAAATTAAGCAGTGAAACTGAAGGAGCATGATCTATACACCAAAACTACTTCATTAAGCTAAATTTGTTTTGGTGACTATAGTGTCCCTTTAATTAGGAGGGCATTATATTGATGCCCAACTTATCACCTGATTCTCATTATAAATTAGTTGAATGCTATCTGATATCAGGTAACTAAAAATAAAATTGTTAGGTCTCATTTATAAACTAAATATATCAAACAGTGGCTTTATTCATAAAACAGTGAAACAGAAACTGTAGCATAAAACAGTCCTAATGAGAATGTAGATGAGTTAGAGGGTTTTTCCTATGTGATTATTTTTACCTAACTTTAGAACATGTCATATAGATTCACTGTTTAATGAAGAGCATTCTTGAATTTAGAGTTCAAAAATCTCAATTATGTTTGTACACAAAATTTGGTATTTTTTTAAAGCATTTGTAAATATTATTTAGCAATAGCCAAGGTGGAAAAAGTCATATCTCAACAGTTTTTTTAATACTATTTGCAACTCCCATGTCACTTCTCCCAAATTTCCAGTTTAGTGGGGCACATATTATTTCTGCTTACTGTCAGGGCTTGAAAGATTCAAATGTTTCCAGTATAAAAATAATAGTGGAGGATCCTTTTGGATGCCAGGAAATATGGATTAAATTCAAACTAGAAGATTATAAGTTATTTTTATTTCTATGGAGCATTTTTTTATCCCTGTCCAACAGACTAGAATGGGTATGCAACAATATGAGAGGATGCAGCACATGGAAGTTGAAGAATGCACCAGAGTTGCAGTCACATGAGAACTGCACATCTTCTCATACATAGCTAAGCACATATAAAAGTGTTATACTGGGGAGAAATATAGACAACAGTACAAAGGTTTCATCTCTAAAGGTAATTTAATTAGACGTGCTCAAAATTTTGTTTTGGCCAAATCATAGTCCTTCTAATCCATATATGAACTAATTGATTTGTCATGGTTTTACATGTGGAGTCTTGTTCTTTAAATAAGACTCCAAAGGTAAATCCTGTGTGAATTATTTTGTTTGAATGTGGATATTTTTTATACTTATTATACTTTATTTATAAAGTACCAACACATTCCACAGTGCTGTCCATGGGTACAATTGGAACAAGTAAAAGACATTGCCCAAAAGACAATACAAACTTTCACAAACAAATACAGGTGGAATTGAGGGCACTATTCCCATGGGAACTTACAATTTAGATGCATAAGAGGGGTGAGAAACAGCAGGGGGTTTGTAAGGGTTAGAGTGATGTTTATACAAAGTGAGATGAGTTGGGTGGAGAGGTAAATCTCCATTTGAAGCCATAGTTGTTTATAAGCTTACATAGAGAAGTATAAATTGAGAACAGTACAGGACTTAAGACAGAACCTAGAGGTACTCCAATTGACAGAGTCATTGAAGAGGAGTCACCCGCACATGACAAAGAACTTACAGAAGAGGACCTTCAAGTGATATAATCCAAGATAGAGCAGTGTCACAGAGATCAAGAGAGCTAGGCATATATAGGATAAAGATGTTGTTATTTGTGTCGAAGCAGACAGTGTTTTTTGCAAAGACAGTCATTGTGAAGCTGTATAATAAGTCAAAACAACCTGTTAGTAAGTAGTTCTACAATGATGTTTGCAGTTCCTTCTTGTTAACTCTTGCTAGCCACCTGTAACCAGGTACACTTAGAGCCAACGATCCAGAGACACAGTTTTCTTCTATTTATAGCAGTCAGGTACTAATGAAGTTATAAATCCGCCTACAGGTGAGTTTTTATAGATAGGAGTTTTACACTTGCAAATTAGATAAGGCTATAATTGCACAGCTAACAGATAACAATATAGTTTTAAAATGACGCATACCAAAACTAAAACTGTTTACCTGACATGGAATTGGTACTAGAAAGTAAGGATGTGGGGAGTTTTATCGTGTTTGGTCCCAACACAAACGTTTTGGTATCTAGCTATATACTCTCTAAGAGACTTGCATACGTAAAGGGTTACCATGCTGATGAGATCCACAAGGACAAAACCGCAGCCCATGACTGGTTTTCGGTCCGTGATCCTTATATATCCTAGCCCATGTTTTGGTTTCATTGCTAAAAACATGCAGATTTGCAGTATGAGGTCTAAAACATGATGCCTGTCTGTGTTCATTTACATTCATTTCAAGCTAAAAACTCTGAGATAGTTGTGGAAACATGATTTCTTCAGGGTCTATACCCAAGAATAGTGATGTACTGAACGGTTCGCCGGCGAACGGTTCCTGGCGAACATAGCATGTTCGCGTTCGCCACGGCGGGCGAACATATGCGCGGTTCGACCCGCCCCCTATTCGTCATCATTGAGTAAACTTTGACCCTGTACCTCACAGTCAGCAGACACATTCCAGCCAATTAGCAGCACAGCCTCCCTAGCAGACCCTCCCACCTACTGGACAGCATCCATTTTAGATTCATTCTCAAGCTGCATGCTTAGTAAGAGGAGGGAAAGTGTAGCTGCTGTTCATAAGATAGGGAAAAGCATAGCTAGGTTAGGGATAAGGGTATGCTTTTTTTGGATTTTTTTTTTCTATCTAATGTAAATGCACTTAGTTGTCTGCCACTGCTGCCAGCTTCTGTGTCAGGCTCACAGTGCCCATTTCCCCAGTCAGTGCCACCAATTACATCTGGTGTCACAATAGCTTGGATTTAAAAACAAAAAACTTTTTTCACTGTTATAGATTGAATAGCAGTCAGTTGTCTGCCACTGCTGCCAGCTTCTGTGTCAGGCTCACAGTGCATACTGTGCCCATTTCCCCAGTCAGTGCCACCAATTACATCTGGTGTCACAATAGCTTGGATTTAAAAACAAAAAACTTTTTTCACTGTTATAGATTGAATAGCAGTCAGTTGTCTGCCACTGCTGCCAGCTTCTGTGTCAGGCTCACAGTGCATACTGTGCCCATTTCCCCAGTCAGTGCCACCAATTACATCTGGTGTCACAATAGCTTGGATTTAAAAACAAAAAACTTTTTTTACTGTTATAGATTGAATAGCAGTCAGTGTCCTTAAAGCGGGTGTGTTACGCTAACAGTGGATACGCTGACCAGTGCCACTAATTAGATCTGGTGTCACAATAGCTTGGATTTAAAAAAAATCATCTTTTTTCACTGTTATAGATTGAATAGCAGTCAGTGTCCTTAAAGCGGGTGTGTTACGCTAACAGTGGATACGGTGACCAGTGCCACCACTTATATCTGGTGTCACAATAGCTTGGATTTAAAAAAAAAAAAAAAACTTTTTTCACTGTTATAGATTGAATAGCAGTCAGTGTCCTTAAAGCTGGTGTGTTACGCTAACACAGTGGATACGCTGACCAGTGCCACTAATTAGATCTGGTGTCACAATAGTTTGGATTTAAAAAAAAAATCATCTTTTTTCACTGTTATAGATTGAATAGCAGTCAGTGTCCTTAAAGC